AGAGGACATCCAGTGTCCCGTGCGTGGAGAGCGGGGGGGAGGCCACCTCCTGCATCTGCTGCGGCAGTGCCCGGGCCTGGCTGGCAAGAGGCCGCGGCTCGCGATGCGCTGCAAGCGCGCTTGGGCTGGCCAGCGCTGCAGAACGAAGCAAATGGCGCCGACGCGGTCCTCTTGGAGTGGCACAAGCAGGTCCGGCAGGGCATCTTCGAGCACCGCTGGGGCGTTGGCGCCAGGGAGAAGGGAAAGGGGAAAGGCGCAACAGGATGCGGCGGCGCGGCTGCCGCCCAGGAAAGGAGGAGGTAGATGAGGAAGAGGAGGCGGAGGGATGCTGGGGAGGAGGAGACCCGGCCCATCACGCCCATTCTGCTTCTTTTCTAATACATAGTATTCTTGAAGAGGCCACATGTGCATCATCTCCATCATTTTTGTCAAGAGGCTGACGGTCTCCATGCATCTTCGGCTTCGCGCGTGTTTTGGGGAAGGAGCTGACGATTTCCGCGCTACATCTTCGGTTTCACACATGTTTTTGGCAAGAGGCTGGCGGTCTCCATACATTTTCGGCTTCGCACGTGTTTTGGGCAAGGAGCTGACGATCCCCATGCTACATCTTCGGCTTCGCGCTTGTTTTTGGCAAGGGGCTTACGGTCTCCATGCATCTTCGGCTTCAGTTTCTGGCAAGATATCATTCATCATCTTCGCCATTCTTGGCAAGAAGCTGACGATTTCCATGCATCTTCGGCTTCGCGCGTCTTTCGGGGAAGGAGCTGACGATCTGCATGCTGCATCTTCGGCTTCACACATGTTTTTGGCAAGGCTGACGATCGCCGTGCATCTTCGGCTTCACTTTCTGGCAAGGTATCGTATGTACATGTATATCTTCACAGTATCCTTCGGCAAGGGGCTGTTGATCCACATCTTCCGCTACCTCGTTGGCTTGGTTACCTCCGGGATTGGCCATAGTCATCGTCAATTATTTCAGATATTTGGCCAAACAGGCGCGGGTAATACTTGGGCAAAAGGTCATTATACGGAGGGTGCATAATTGATCGACAGCGCGTTGGATGTTGTCCGCAAGGAAGCAGAGGGATGTGATTGCTTACAAGGGTCCCAGATGTGCCATTCCCTAGGAGGCGGCACTGGAGCCGGCGCGGGGGCGTTGCTCATTTCCAAGGTGAGAGAAGCATATCCTGACAGAACTATGGAGACGTTCAGTATCATTCCGTCCCCCAAGGTGCGCGACACTGTAGTGGAGCCATACAATGCAGTACTGTTTTTTCCACCAATTGGTGGAAAATGCAGACGAATGCTTCTGGCTTGACAACGAAGCCCTTACGACATATGTTTCCGTACGCTGAAGCTGACCGCGCCCACGTATGGGGATTAGAATCATTTGGTGAGTGCAGCAATCAGCGGTGTCACGACTGGCTTGCGCATCCCGGGGAAGCTGAACTGCGACCTGCGCAAGATTGTTGTGAACCTGATCCCATTCCCGCGCCTGCGCTTTTTCCTGGCCGGCTTCGCGCCCCTCACGTCCCGCGGCCCCCAGCAGCACCGCGCGCTGACCGTGCCCGAGCTCGCGCAATAAATGTTTGACGCCAAGGGGCTTTCCTTCCTTGCGTCGCGCATTGCGACGCGGAGTAATTCGTGAAGTGGTGTGTTAATTCGACTCAGCTGGGTGGCCGCACGTGTCCGGGGGCCCATCTGACCCGCATTCATCATTCCCCGCGCATGCAGTCACCAGCATTGCATGCCAGCCCGCCGAGCGAGCTGGTCCGCGACGCCAAGAATACGATGTGCGCAGCTGGCCCTCGCCATGGCCGCTACCTGACCGCGGCGGCTCTGTTCCGCGGTCGCGCGTCCACCAAGGAGGTAGACGAACAGATGCTGAATGTGCAGAACAAGAACTCTTCTCATTTTGTGGAGTGGATCCCCAACAATATCAAGGCTTCCGCGTGCGACATCCCCCCAAAAGGGCCTGAAGATGGCAGTCGCCTTCGCGGGTAATTCAACAGCCATTCAGGAACTGTTTAAGCGTGTAGCAGAGTATTTCACGGCGATGTTCAGGCGCAAGGCTTTCCTGCACTGGTACACCGGCGAGGGCATGGACGAGATGGAGTTCACCGAGGCGGAGAGCAACATGAATGACCTCGTCTCGGAGTACCAGCAGTACCAGGATGCCACTGCGGAGGAGGAGGGCGAGTTCGACGAGGAGGAGGACGGCGAACAGTGAGGTGTTTCTCGGGTTTTCCGCGCGCACGTGTCCTTTCTTGATTATCTTGGCCTTCGAACAACCGATGGGCCGATGCATGCTTGCGAGCTTTCGACTCGTGTGAGTGACTTACCCCCTTCAGAGATAAGAAATAAGTGCGCAAGGCATGTGTGCCAACATGAAACTCCCTTGAGTCCTTTTCGGAGGCTTGCTCAGGTCCCCTGGAGCACGACGTGCGTGAGGCGTGTGCCGAAGTGCGAATCCAAGTAGACTTGCGGACCAGTTGCGGGGCATCCGGGTTCCATGCGCCACGAAATGCGCAAAGAGTGCCGAAATTAGCTCCCATCGAGCCGCCTTGAGGGGCTGATTAAGGACATCCAGGAGGTCCGTGGTGCACGATGTGCGTGGAGGGTGCTCGATTCTCGCCTGTGTGTGGTCGCTGTTTTTTGGTCGACATTTGATGTTTTTGGATTTTTTGGGAATGTTCGTGGACATTCGAGATTCGCTCATTCATTTTCTTCTCACTATATCTTCCTCGGCCTTCCATTTGTTATCATATTTTCTTCTTTGGTTTTGTACTTTTGTCGATGCTCGATGCTAATGTTGAATAATTGTTGATTTCGTTTTCAGATTTTGCTGATTTCGTTTAGTTATATATCGTTGATTTCCGACGTTGGTTTGGTTTTGTGGATTTTCGTCGACCTTCGATGGCCGGTTATTCTTCGTTTATTTTCGTCGACGTCTGATTTTCTGTGATTCTTTGCATTTTTTCTCGACGCCCGATGTATGTGTTTCACTTGGATATCGTCCAGTTCTATCTGCTTTGACTCTTAGGTTTTCGTATATGTTCCGGTGATGTTTGTTGGCATGTGCGATGATCGTCAAGTTGTCGCCAGCCGGTGCGCTGAGAATGAGCTTCCTTGCAGCATTGCTGGCAAAACGAAGTGCGCCGGAAGCCAAGCCATTGCATTTAACGTGAAGCGAATCCGTTGCATTTAACGTTTTTGTTCTGGATTTACCCACTATTCTACACGTGGGCGCGAACGGGAACTATTTTACACCTGTTGCTGGAGCTCTTCGCACGCCTGTGGCCCGCTGGGCCGGCAGAAATTTTGGAGCCCCGGTGGGCCCTGACCGAGCTGTGGCGCCTGCTGGGCCCCCCCATCCCCGAGGGAAGAAGTGCTTCGAGGCCCACA